TCATTTTGTTCAGAACAATTTCTTTCACTTAGTGGAATCAGCTACTGTAAATCTCCAGGATACTCCTGTTAATAGTTAGTGGAAAAACATGTGGGTAGAAATCTGTCTTCCCCAGAGGTGCCTGATAGCATTTGATTAGCAGCTAGGCATGCAGCAGCTTCATGAATCTTCTGTTTTTTGTTTTCTGTTTGCAGATTTTATTCTTCACCGTACAGTATTGCAACCAACCGCATGATTCCACAGACATCTATCACGCCATTCATTGCTGCTTCCCCTGTCTCCACATACCAGGTATGTCCAATTTACCTGCACCTCAGGAGAGATCTTCCCTGGCCATTAATCCACTATTCAGAGGCAAAAAGGACAGAGTAGAATTAAAAGAAAATTTTTCCTCCTATACTTTAGTCACATCTTAATGTAATAATGCCAAAGTTAAGAATCAGCCTATACTTTCAAAGGCCTGTTGGCATCAGTTCACTGAGTAATAAGATCCACTATACTTTCCATTCTTCCTGCTGTTTTTTCATGATTACTCTACTTGCCAACCAACATTAACACAGCTCTCTTGCCACTGGGAAATTATTTTTTGTTGTCTGTTACTTTGGTTGTTCGCATTCCCTATCATGTCTTTTCTAAAAGCACATTTCTGACAGTTCCTTCCCTCCGGAATATTTCATCATCGTCATCTCATTTTGTCACAGTTGCCCTGGTAAAGCTACACAAATAAATGGTAAATCATACTTCCCAAGAAATAGAGATTACCAAAGTAGTAAAAAGTTATTTCTACTCCCTGTTCTTACTTCATTCTTAATTCCAGAAAAGACCCCAAAAGACCTCAGGCATTCCTCATGTTGAAATGCTGGAAAATCTGAGCCTCAATATGTGTCCTAAATCAGACGTTGTTAACCGGTTAATTCCGAGCACACAGGTGGATCAAAATTGTCACCCTTCTCCCTCAAAAAGTACTCCTAATCATTATCTGTTGAGTTATCAAATATGTGATATTACTCCATGTTCTTCTATATCTGATATTATTCTTTAAACAATTATTTCAATTCTAAGTAGAAAATGACTATAAAAGCTGCATGTAGAAAGAAAGAGTATATTACCATTTTTGTGTTTTGGGGGTTTTTTTTTAAGTTTGGAGAGAGGAAGAGAGAGACAGAGTGAAACTGTGTGCATGGCGTGGTTCTCAGTATTTTGCAGATGGTTGGGAGGATATTTTACAATGAGTAATGCTATAATGTTGCTGACTGCTACTAACTGAGTGAACTTTCACCTTATTCTGCCACTACATTTCAGGATGTCCCAGCTGTCAGAGTATCGAACTTGAGATTATATGCATTTTTTCCTTAACTGTTTGCCCCTGAAGCAAATCATTTCATTCTTTTTCTGCACTCAGACTCCCGAAACCTATCTGTGGGTGAATGAAATAGACTTTTGTCTGAATTGCATTAGGGCGGGTCTCAGAATGGCTGATTTCCTAATTGCCTTTTCTTGAGGCCCAGGAGGATATGTGCAGGTGGTGACCAGTTTTTGTTCTTCCCACAGGCCTGTCTGGATGGGGTGTGTGTATGTGTATGTGTGTTTCCTTTTCCCCCTAATCTCGGCCTCTAGTTGAGCCAAGACCACCCATTGAGTCATGGGGTAGAGCACTTTGGTGACATGAATAAAATATCCACAGATTAGTGATTTTACTTGGGAGGGGTCATAAGTAGAATTTAACTCTAGCTCCCTTTTCTCCAAAAAGCGATTAGAGCAATTTTCTATGTTGATTCTCTCCTTTCACCACTATTTTTTATTTAATCCAAAGCATATTGGCAGTTTTGTTGATGCAAGTATATTGAAAAAAAAAATCTTCAGGGTTCTCTATGTGCCTTTTAGCTTACACAGACTGACTTTCTCATTTGGCTGACACATGGTATGTACAAGAATAGTTGGCTTTCTCAAATGCTCATTTTTATTTTCATACCAATTACTATGAGGGGAAAACATACAAACTTGCTTAATGTGGATTTAACCTAAATCTCTCCCTCGAATTTCTGGCTTATCTCTTTAGTTCTTACCAAAAGTTTTACCACTTGGACATATTTCTAAGATGAGATCACTTGAGCATTTGAAGTTATAACCAGTGACAGAAAACAAGGAAGTCTTAGCAGTCAGTTCTTGCTGCCTTAATTACTTTCCAGGGCATCCCCTGGGAGTTGCCCTCCAAATGGTCTCTGAGGCTTCTAAGACATCAACCTCAAAATATGTTCCAAGACTTAGACTGATCCATGTGAGTGCTGAAGCCAGTTTTGGTGATATGAGAAGTTGCTTTACATTTTACCATATTTCAGGGACCAAATTAATCAAGTTCGAGCATTCCCTTTTTAAGCGCGGTTGTGAGCACTAATTAGCTGTAAAGTCAGATGGACTCCTCTTTCTTATGACTTAGTGTGACTCCACTGAACACAAGAACCAAGTTCTCTCTGTGATTGCCTTGTGCTAATAAATGCTGTTTGATGCATAGGTCCAGAGCACTTCATGGATGCCTCATCCGCCATACGTTATGCAACCAACAGTAAGTGTTCTCAGTCACCTGAGGCTAAATGTTTCTCTTATCCAAGTGCAAGCTTTTGGAATGCATAGAAGCTTTGGGGTAAAGCTTTTACTATATTCTGTAGCTCTTCAGGCAGCCATTTTCTCCAGATAAAAAGCTGTTCCTGAAATTCTACAAAAGCATGTACAGTAGATAGCTAGAGATAGATGCAGAAAGATGTAGGGAGAGAGAGAGAGAGTGCAAACTTTATTAGAGGAAATAGCTGTAAACCTCCCAGGCTGATTGTCTGCCATTTTCTTATGAATGAAGAATTTCTGCTTCATGCAGGAACTCAGAATTCTGGACAAAGAAATTCATTATAAATGGAAAGTCTTTTTGTTTCTCTTCTCTTTCTGTTGTGCTTTACTCTCTTTGGCTGTGTTCTGATGTTCTCGGGGGGTGATTTTAGGTATCATGGCCAAGTGTTGATGTGAAGAGATATATTTCAAATGTGAAGGTAGTTGTATACTAATAGATGGAGTTATATAGATAAATAGCCAGGTGGGTAAATCTTTTTTATACTAACTAACTATAGCCATTCTCTTTTTCTATAGTGAAAAATTTCTTCCAAAAAATATTCAAGCTCTATTTTCTACTTGCTAGATTTCCCATTTTGTGGCACAATATTACATCAATCTCAAGTGAAAAGTATGATAAATGACGTTAGAATCTAGACTGAAGGCTAATGATTCCATTTATCTTCGTCTAGGTCTTCCAGGTTTTCTAGCTCTATAGAAGTATAAGGTAGAAATTTCAGTAGTGTGAGACAGGGAACCCAGCCCAGACTGGAAGTTGTGTGACAGGGTCTCTGGTGACTCCCCAGTGTATGCTCACATCTGTGCCTCTGTTCCGTTTTCTGTCACTATATTTAACAGTGCTTTGGGCAGGATCAAATGAGTGAGCATATGTAAGAACAATGTAAAAAGCATGGCATGCTGTATATAATTGTTACCATTATCCTTATCATTTTTTAATATGTTAGTTGCACAGAGAAGAAGGAATGCTCCTAACATTTCCATAGTTTTTTTTATTTAAAGAATTAAATATATGTAGTTTCCCACAGCAGAACTTTGGACCATAATTTGCAAATCCTTCTATTTGTTATTATTTACATACCTTTGGGGCTTTCTGAGTTCATCTGGTCTGTATTCTATAAATCATACAAATAGGCAACAAATCCAGGCTGGACTTTCCTGTCCAAGTCATAAGGTAAAATTCAATTGGTGCTGCCAAACCAATATATAATAGAGCACAGATTGAGCCAGGAAAGGAAGAGGGAAGTCCTGCCAAATTCTAAAGAGGCGACTTTCTAGAAGGAAACAACTACCTTCTAAAAAAAATAATGTGTTCATCTACAGAGCATTAATGCTTGTCCTCACACTGAGGCTCATCACCATCCCTTTGTGGTCAAAAGAAATGCACATCTGGCAACATCTGAATATTGTGCCAGATGTCTAAGTATATGTGATTCTTCAGTACTTCTATCTAGAACAGCTGGGAGAAGAGAAGATGATTATATGGGTCTTTACTTCGACCGTCATGCAGAATATTAGCAAAGATTTTCATAGACAGACCTGTCTTTATCCAGCACTGCTTGTGCTCAATATTTGCACATGTTGTTTTCACACGTCTCCCTCAAGCAATAGGTATATGTGTGCATCTGTGTGTATGTGTTTTAATTTGTCCCCTTGGATTTCCCTTGCGGTGGCTAACCCTCCCTGATATTCTATCACTTTCCATGACTAGACGGTGCATCATGTCTGAGCTTAGGCCACTAGGTTTAAAATGTAATGTTTATAGCTGGGGTAGATTCTTGGAAATAAGAAGTGGCTAGGCCACCCACCACTTTGTTATCTTTAATGTAAAAAAATTAGCTAAGCAGTGTCATGGAAACCGGGAGTTTGTGCCATCAACTGCTCCATAGCAGCCTTGCTGTGTATATTTGCATAAGTAACATTACCCAACTGGCTTTAGTTTCATCATTCAAGTGGGGTTAATTTAACCACTCTGTAATACTAACATCTAAAACTACTTAGCCATCAAAGACCAAAAAAGAAAATGCCTGGATTTGAGAGAAACGAATGAGGGGCTTGATGATTAATAGCACAGATTATTGGTTAGGCTCACTGGGACAGGAAACTCTTCTTACCGAAGGGTGTTGGGAAATGTACTTAACTTCTGGGGCCAGTTTTCTCATGTGTAACAGAGACATGATAATAATACCTAAATGATTATGTGTTTTGCTCATTACATGAAATGAAATATTAAAGCGCTTCAAATAGTTCCTGGCAAATAGCAGCCACTCAGTAAGTTATTATTATTTTTCAGTTGTAAAAGTAGATGTCTCATTATATTTAGATTAACCCAATTACGTAAAGTGAGTATTGATACAAATAGAAAGTTGAGAATAAGCATCTTGGTTGAAAATTACCCATTTTTAACACATTTATAAGGCTTATTTAACCGACTTTGCTAAGGAATTTGGTAAAAAAAAAAAAAAAAAAAAAAAGTGCCTCTGTGGCTATAGAGAAGACAAATTGTTTAGGTTGGTACTTATTTCATTTACTTACGAAACCATTTGAGACCTAAAACTTAAATAAATAGCCCATTGGGTACCTCCTTTGTAACTAATAGGAACCTACTTTGTGAATAAATTCAAGACGTCCATATTCATATCTCACATATGTTGCCCATAATTCTAATTTGCTTGCAACTTTTCTCTTCTGTCACTTTTTTTTTTCTTTTCTTATCTTAAGAAAAGCTCATGCATGAGCTCTTATGGTAAGGCATCCCTGCGCTTGCACTGACTCCTGAGTAGGAGCCAGATGTAGTGTCCAGGTCAGAGGCCCTTCGTTTTCTCTCTTCAGGTTTGTATCTGAAGAGAAAAGCAGTGCTTCAGCAAACTTTTCAAGTAGAGGACATACCCTTGGTCTTGTTGCTAGGGTGGATGAATGGTTGAACTGGAGGGATAGCAATCGGTAAGGGAGAAATGAAATGATGCAGAGGAGAGGGGGAACAGTAACAGAGGAGTGAGAAAGAACAGAAAACACAGGTGTGTAGTTCTCTGAAATTGGCCATTTAAGTTTGTTTCTTTGGATATTTAATTTTCTAAGAAGTATGCTATGTACTCTTTTGCAGATTTACAAAAATATTCTGGGAAAAGGGACAAGAGGGACACAAAAGACCATTTATTATCTTAGTGTTTGTGCGAGAAGAAAGATCTCCTTATTAGACCCCAGGCACTTTTGGGTTTCCTAGAAAGTTGTCAAATCTCACTTAGGGAAGTGAGAGCGTTGCTGTCTGCACTTTGTTACTGTTCACTTGAATGGACTCTGAGGAGGGAGCCCTGTTATCTAAATTAGGAATTCCCTTTTTGCTGTGAGGAAGTAAAATGCTGATTTTGTCAATGCAATCGGTTCCTTATTCCTGCTTCTCAGCACAGGGTTGTGCGCTACACTCTGAAATCTCACAGTTACACTGACAGAATTTTAATAGTTGATGGGTTTCATCAATTATACACTCCACAGAGAAGCAGGTCACATTGGAATGTCATGTGAACACACAATTGATATTCTAGTATTCTGGTACATTGGATATGTTGCTACATCTGCACCACTGACGAGGAGAAACGATGATAGTTCCAAGTGCAAAGAGTTCCATTCTCTTAAATTCTATTAGGCATGTTTGAGTCACAACCTTCTTTTCTTCATATGGTTAGTGTTATCTCATCTCACGGAGAAAGGTCAGCTTTCATTTTTACTTAATTACAAATTGGTTAGCTAGGTACAGTCTTCTAAGAAATGCAAGATGCGCTCATTGACTCAATAGATGATCTATGGCCATTCACGGCTAAATTATAATGTTTATGATCAATAAACCCTAAGTTTACAGCTAATGATCAAATATAACAAGGCTGTTTAAGAAAACCCGAGAGTATTCAATTTGTCATTATTTGCCCTTGAACAGGCAAGGCCTAAGGGCTAGTTTTGCAGTCTGTGTCCTTCAAAGTTTCAGGTGTGTTTTCTGAAAAGGCATTATCACTAAATTTGGAAAGAATATTAAAATTTTGTTCAGAAAGCAAGATATTTGGATACGACCCTTTTACTTTAACACCTGAGCTGAGCAAAAATCATAACCTTTGTGGTTTCATGATATTAAAGATATATACGTAATCTCTTTTAATGAAATAGCAAAAGACGAAAACCAAACAACAACCCTAACCTAGAGATGTATTGTTTCTACTAGGAGAGAATTCAAATGAATGGGAATAATGGTAGGAAGGCCTTCTAAATACAGTGCTAGGCTAAAATAAATATGAACAAAACAATTTCTACAAGTCTCTTAGATGCTGTAGAAATTCCTTTTCTCCTAAATACTGTAGAAAATAGTACTGACTTTGCTAATGCTAAAAATGTAACTTCTAAATTTTACAGCAATTCTTATGTGACTTTAGTGAAAATAACTTTAAACATGAAAAATGTCTTAATACAACAACCAAGAAAATGCCGTAAAGACTATGTTGACCACTTTGATGAATGCATTTCAGATTGTGTGTAAAGCTAGCACATTGTACCCCATGATTGCAGTAACGTATACAGCTATGATTTAATAAAAAAAAAAAAAAATCAAGGCTTATAATGTGAAAGTCCACCTAGGATCCCTTCACTTATCATTTCTTGTCTCTAGAAGTAAACCTAGACAAATTTACGTGTCACCATACAGGCAATGTTTATGCATACCAAAGTATATATGTATGTGTATAAATGTATGTTTTAACATGTAAACAAAATTGTTTACAGTTTTGTATTGCAATTTGCTTTATTTTTCCAAAATAATAAAATGATTGGGATGTTATTACATATAAATTACATGCAAATCATACCAGTTTTATTAACGGCTTCTAAACATATCATTGTACAAATGCATCAAAAAGTATTTAATTTCCTGTTCATAGTCCTTTAAGCTGCTTCTACTACTTGCTC